AGGCCTGCTGGAAGACTGGGAAGGGCACCTTTTCCAGCCCTCACCGCTGCCTCCTGCTACCACTGGGTGTCGCTTGTGGTTGCCTTCCTCGCCCATGGGGGGCTGTAACAGAGGAGTCACAAGTGGTCAGAAAGCATTAGCCATACCACTTTCCAGGACCAATCAGAGGCCTCCTTTCCACCTCCAAATGTAGACAACGATTTGGTTTACAAATGAAGTAGGGCCCATCCTGTGCTTTCATGCTGACACTACCAGAAATAAGGTAACTGACCAAAGCATAAAAGTAATTTGCCAAAATCCTCCTATATTTAGGTCTATATTCTAAAGAGCAGGTTTGATCCTACATATTTCTGTCCTTTCTATGAAGGGGTCTCTTACTCAGGAAATGACCTGTGGTATGTGGCAAACAGCATGGTGCATGTGTTGGCTCCACAGGGCCACATACACTGGGCCTGTCTTACTCTAGCCCTCACTAGGCACACAAGCCAACAAAGAAGACTGTTGACTCTCAGTCTGCCCTACCAAAGGCCACCAAAAGTACTTTCCAGGTATCAGGGTCAAGCCACTGGTTTACCTTAACTAGTCTACCCAGCTACCTACAGGTTCTTTTCACACAATCGCCTCCCCAAGAGTGGGTAAGAACACAAGCCCAGTTTACCCATCCATACAGGATATAATTCTACCTACATTCAACACCAGGAGCTGGCCCAACAGTGTGCTCACCAACGTGGGCACTGCAAGCAGTATCAGTTTTAAAATAACTGAAGACCATTGCTGCTACTTACTTACTTACACCTACACTTTCCGTTAAAAGTTCAAAAGAACAGTGACTGATACATTATAAAAGGCAGCCTTTGAGACATTCAGAAGCAATACCCAGACTCACCACAAGATGTCACTGTCCAGGCACTGCTCCAGACAATGGAGAACTGGACACTCATTTACAAATTTCTGATCTTTTCCAGAAGGAACAAGTACATTTATCAGGGTAGCTGGTACTAATCCTGGCACAAACTAGCAGTAGTGGGCCTGGGCAAGCAGGTGGGCTGTGACACGAAGGGAAGGAAGGACAACAGGAGGGACACAGGAAACCACCAATTCTAGTGAGTACCCGCTGTCCACTCTCACCATCACTTCACATACAGGAGAGGGTGGCTGCTCTTTACAGGACAATTAGAGGAGTCAGAAGAGAGGCTTTCACTCACGTCCACTCGGAAGTCTTCTAGACGTCGGAATTTGCCGAGGTATTCTTGCAGTTTGGGGTCAATGTCCAAATTTTTGGCTTTGGAATATTTCAAGAAGGCCCAGAACTTCTCTAATCCATAGAGCTGGCCTGTGAAGAAAGGAGAGTTGGAGAGCTGAGCTGAGATGAAGGGCCTAATACTCCAAGGCCCAGGAGGGTTCCTGCAGCTCTGACAAGACTCTTACCAGCCTCATAGTCCTTCACAGTCTCCTCCTGGAAATCCTTGAATATGTCCAGTCGGAACTTCTTCTCCAGACCATAACTGTAATATCGA